CGAACGAGAGCGAGGAAAAGCGACGAGAAAGTTTCGACTATAATCAACATGTTAATTCTCCCGAAAAAAAAACGGAATCGGGATGAAAGAGAGAGAAAGAGAAATAGACCTCGGTTCTACGTGAATTTGTTCGTCTCTCTCGTTGCAGAGACTGACGGTAGGAACCGGCAATCTGGACTCCTCGAAATTGAACGTGAAGCCGACTTGGGGCGTCAGTTTCGGCCTACCGCAAACCGGTGGTGTCGGTCCAATCGCGCCCCACCCTGGTTATCCCCTGGGAATCCCGGGGTACACACCGGGCTATGGGCTGGTTGGCGGACAGGGCATAAATCTAGGTCCGGTCGCCGTGAATCCGCTCGTAGCGGTGCAGGTCACCAAAGACGAGTACGGTGAGAAGATCATCAAGCCTTACGTGAACCTTCATGTAACACCCAATCCAGGACTTATTCACAAGCTAGGCCATCTCCTGGCTTACAAGAAATATGGACTATACGGCGGTCATTACGGTGGTCATTATGGCGGTCATTACGACGGACATTACGGCGTTTACGCTCCTCATTATCACACACATCACGAGAGACCGATCTATCATTATCCGTCCAGACCGCCGTTCTATCCATCGCACAATATTCATCATCACGAACCGATCTATTACAAGCCTCACAGCGGACAATACTATCCTTCTCACTTATACAAGGACGATAACGACGATTACGATGACTACGATTATTCGGATGATTATCAGGATAATTACTATAGAAACGCTCGTGCGAGAAACGCGTCAACGACGAAAGGTAGACAATTCTTGACAAAGGATTTGTCGAAGGTTTCGCCGGAAGGACTGACCGGCAACGAACGACAGAAGAGCGGGAAGATTACTTTCTCAAACAGAAGGAGACGCGACACGACGGCATTTAACGAAACGACATCGGAGGTAAGAATACGGTTGGTTGGTCTGCTCGCTCTGCTGAACAGACTTAACCGTTGTAATAACGAGGTTGTAGAGTCGCTGTAAAGCGGCTGAGGCCGTCAGCGGATGACTCAGAATGACGGTGATACCGACTCTGCAAACTTACGAAACACGAGATTGTCAAACTGAGCAGCGGTGTATAGCACAGATAGAAGTCGAGAATATGATAAGTAGAACTCGTCGTAGGTATGTCGGGACGAAATCAATTGACCGATCCCTTTCTATTCGCAGAGACGATATGGACGTCCGGCTTGCAATTCTTATCACGTCTGCTGCCCAAGATCGCAGATAATAGGAGTGAAACACGGTCAATGCGGAGTTAGAAACGCACAGGGCATCAATGGCCGTATCAAGACCCCAATCTACGTCGACGGAGAATCCGAATTTGGTATGCGACTTCTAATACAATTAATTACTGAATGAATAGCATTTGTAGAAAAGGATACTGTCAATTTGAATTAGATACGTTTTGGAGAAATCCTCTCTGGGAATATTAAGATAGAAAACATAAAATATAAACATAACTCTCCCTTTTTTGTTGTAATTTCAAGAATAGCAAACATTTAACTGATATTATTGCTTATCGATCGCAAATTAATAAATACGCGTACATGTATTTTAATAAAACTTTCCTGAATGTAGAGATCAATTATCATTATCGCGAATTTAATATTACTACTACAATATTAAATTTTTCAAACATTAATTTTTAATATGCTTTAAATTTTAAATACTTGATATATAATTTCATATGCATTTGTACTGCTTAACAATATGATATTATTTGAGATATTTTTCACACATATGCATTATATAATAATTTTAAATATTTCATTACATGGCAATATTAAAGAATATTATTGCTATATTAAATCATTCTTAATTTAGGTGAATACCCATGGCATGTAGCTATTATGAAGATCACTGCAGAAAATGTCTACGTTTGTGGAGGTACTTTGATCTCGTCCCGACATATCATTACTGCTGCTCATTGCATCAAGACCTATGTCCCTCGTGATCTTCGCGTACGATTAGGCGAATGGGATGTGAATCACGACGTTGAATTCTACCCCTACATCGAACGAAACGTTGTGAGTGTCTTCGTGCATCCTGAGTACTACGCTGGCACTCTTGCCAATGACATCGCTATTCTAACGCTGGATCATAACGTCGATTTCACAAAGAACCCTCACATTAGTCCAGCCTGTTTGCCAAATAAATACGACGACTTCACTGGAACAAGGTGCGTACTCTCCATAATTTACAAAACGGAAGAGATCATTGTGAAAAAAATTATTTTTAAAATTTCTCATTAATGCGTGTAGCGAGATTTCTTCTAAACTCAAGGTTAATGAATTTCAATTCTTATAATTCATATATATTGATATTTCCCCAGAGAAAAGTAATTGATTGTTAGTACAGCGACAAAAAATTTTGTAGATAAATGCTTATAGCATGAAATAATTTGAGATACATATAATATATTGGGTCATCTAAAAAGTATCCGCGGTACTTTGTCACTAGATATATGACCATCAACACACATCTAGTGACAAAAAACCGCGGATACTTTTTAGATGACCCAATATATATTTAAAACGTATTTCTTGATAGAATATTTTATATCTTTAAGCCTATGTGGCTATTATAATGCTATAATATTCTTAATATAATTTCCAAAATTTAACAAGTTTTAGCCTAGTAATTTAAAGCCTAGTATTATTAAAAAAACGTAGCAATAACATTAATTATCTCTTATTTTTTGTAAATACTTAATGTTGCCTCATACGCGAGAAGAAGCAGCAGATGTTTCAGAAAAATTGATATAAATAACAAATTATATTTTAAAAAATTCCTGTTATTAAGAGTCAAATAATTATAAACCAAAAATCTTTCCGAACGGATTCTCGCTTCTAAACGCGGTGCGCTTTAATTGAAATTTAACATAATGTATGGCAGATGCTGGACCACCGGATGGGGCAAGGACGCTTTCGACGATCGCTCCAAGTATTCTAATTTGTTGAAAGAGGTGAACCTACCTGTCGTCAGCAATCATGTGTGTGAGCAGCAGATGAGGCAGACGCGGCTAGGACTCAGCTTCACGCTTCATCCGGGCTTCATCTGCGCCGGTGGCGAGGAGGGCAAGGATGCCTGCAAGGGCGATGGTGGCGGCCCCATGGTCTGCGAGCGTCAAGGCCACTGGCAGTTGGCCGGTGTCGTCTCCTGGGGCATCGGTTGCGGCCAACGGAACGTGCCTGGAGTCTACACTCGCGTCTCGCATTATCTCGACTGGATTCACCAGATTGTCGGATCTGTGAATTAATGATAAGAGAAAATTCGAATCAAGTCGTATTTGACATAAAAAAAAAGACATAGCAAAGTTTCATTTCTTCAAAATCGAACAATATTTTAATTTCGTATATATATATATATATATATAGAGAAAGACATATTTATATATATTTATATTAAAATCGTTTATATTCTATTATATTTGCATATAAGCAAATTTTACTTGGAGGCGGCCGATTCAAAACAAAAAGCTATTTATTCGATTATTGCTCGTTCTTGTGTCATCAATTAGTTTCTCTTTTTTTTTTTTAAAATGTCTAATTTATTGTATATAGATTTCTAGGAACGCGTTCCACTTGGTGCTCACATAACACTCGCAAATATTATTTGTCCTTCACTGCGTTCAGCAGAAAAAATAGCTTTGCAACTCTTGTAAAATTTTTTAATATGATTAGTCTTGCCTAAATGGAAATAATTACACTGAGAAAAAAATGCTATTGATTCAATTAAAGATTCTATATTACGAGCTGTCAACAGCTGTTAACATAAGTAATTAATTCATGTATATTTTTGACATAAAGGGATAAATTATTATTTCGATAATCAAGGCCTTTGTCAATAAAAATATACATGAATTAATCACTTAGTAACAGCCCATATAGAATTTAATTGAATCAACAGCATTTTTTTCTCAGTGTAGAATTTATATACATATTAACTTTTCAACAGTTGCAAAGCTTTTTCTGCTAAATGCGGCTCTTGTTTAACACTTGACAAGAATCAAATAATTTCAAGAGTGTTGGAAACATCAAATGGAACGTAGTTCCTTGATCGCGCGCCAAAGTCGGCGCCATTTGCGCACCGGCTAGCGATACACGGCACGCAATTCGCGAAATCTGATTCGAGCGTTCGGATCGTCGAGTAATGCATTTTCTTTGCAACAGCTTATATATATTATATTTATCAGTCTAATAAATAACTTACACACATATACCTCTGTATTCCACGACCACTTCTCTGCCCCGACGCTGCATAATTATGAGGTCTGTTCGCGTTGCTCGCACTTTTTGCACTCGGCATCTTCGCTTTCTCTCTTTTCAAAGCCAAATATATATCTATCTCATTTTAAGTGCAAAAATATTTGGGGATTTTATGTATCGTGAACAGACCTATGATCAGTCGAGAAGTGTGAGAATCGCTTAGAATTTGCGTGCGATCTGCAATCGAATTTTTGCCATAAGAATAAATATTTGAATATCAGGAGAAAAGGCGAAAAAGGGAAACGTCGGCAATAGCGATTTAAACGCGACAGATAATAATATCTCGATATTTTCTTAAAAATACCTTCGTCTTGAGAAAGAGAATCTCGTTCGAGTAAAGTCGCGACTGCAAATTTCCGCCATCTTGCAACGGTTTTCGAAGAATTGCGCTTCAAGCGAATTTCGGATATTCTCGAACATGAGAGGATGTGTAGATCTACTTATATCTTTACTTTAGGATACCTGAAAGATCAGGATGTCTTTCTCGATACTTTTTGCACATTTTATCATTGGAAAAACCATGCAACTCACCTCTCATGATCAGTATTACGCGCATTGCTCGCGATATCGTCGCACTAAATTTGAATCGGCGAGAGCGTCACTCCGAACTGCGCCGATCGCGTCCGAAAACGCCCGAGAACGATTTCGATACTTGTGCCGCCATCTATCATCTTCCAGCAGAATTAAAAAGTATCCACTCTATAACCTCTCTTGCAATCTTAATCTCAAAACATTGTTTATCGTTATACGAAATACGCATAGTTTTCATAAAGTAGACGTTGATCTCGATGTTGCATCTCACGAATAATCGAGGACGATATTAAGAAAGAATCGGAGCAGCAACTCGGTACACAGAATTAATTAGTAGGAGGAAAATTTGTAGAGAGTCAGAACGGTGAATCCGGCAGTCGTTTACCGGTCAACTGTACACAATGCCTATAAAGTTCATCGGTCGCACAACGGATTTCAAGGGAAAGCCCTTATGGGAAATCGTGGCAAATCTGAAGAACTTCGGCGTTGGCAGACTCGTGATAAGAAATCGCTTTCAGAGGTATCCCGAACCTTGTTACATGAAAATACTGAAGGTCGCTGGGATGCCCTTACCTGACCGACCCTATGTAAGTGCTGAAAATGATGGTTGATCTTTCCAGCAAGTGAGACAATGTAACAGTAATCATTTCATCTTTATTTATAGCAATCAATAAAAATATAATGATTTATTGTGTCATATAAAGTCCGTTTTTTATCAAAGAATTCTCTGAACTGGTACAATGGTACATATAAGTTGGATCAAATTATATTTCTTTTGCTTCAATTTATATGCATCAGTTTGGAAAATACTTCGATAAAGAATAGACTTCTTAATCCGTATTTCTTGCTGGAAAACATGCAATATACCAAATAATTCTAATTTGTGTTGCATCTTCTAACATGGTTGCATTGCTTCAGAACGACCGCAAAGTTATGGTATTAGTTGAGAAAGTCTTCCGTGGCATCAAAAGCTCGAAACCAGTGCAACTGGACAGCTCGACTTACAAGGCAGATTACATGCTGATTCCTAAGGATCAGGAGCATATATTTCTTAATAACACAAAGGTAGTGGAGAAGAGAATCATGCCCAAGACAACGGAGCTTCCACCATTATTCTCACACTTGATAATAAATCAGATGAAGGCAAAAGGCATCGCTGTGTCCACAGAACCAAAATTAAATCTTCGGTATAATCTCACAGCAACAGATGTTAAGAATTACAGAGTAGCTGAGGAAGATGAAACCCCAACGGTGAAATTGAACTTTAAGGTGGACGAGTCTAGTTCATTGTTCCCAAAGCCAGAAGAGACAGCAACCCCGTGAGATTTTACATTTAATGTTGATATATAGTTGTTAAGAATAAATATTTTATAAATTATTTCTGAAGAGAGAAGCAATAAATTACTTTAGGGAGAAACGTAAAAAGAAAACAATCCGATTCTCAAAGCTCCATTTCATTGGATGTATAATTAAATTCAGGAGTGTCCATTTTTTCTGCACGAATGACCTAGAATTTATGCAAGAACCATTATTTATTTTTCAATTCCTTAATTATACTAATACCTTCCAAAACTGACGCATCTCCTGAACATCCGTTTTTTTTCTAACAAGCCAACCACGAACATATCTCTGTATATGTAAAGCGGCCTCCTCTTTAGTCCACAACCATGATTTTGGATAAATTGGCCTAGGACTAAAAAAAAGATGTAAAATAAAATATAATTTTTAAAAACCGGGATATGTTTTCTTCTTACTGCAACTTTAGCCATAGCTTGAATTGTGGTATGTTAAATATGCCTTGCCAAGTGCACAATCTACTCGGATGTTGCGAATTTCGATTCCAAAGAATCTCCGCAAGATAATCCAATCCATTAAAGGAGCATTTATGTGTCTAAGTATAATAATTTTTTTTCAAGATATCGTTTGTATTTATTGATTCTAAAAATACACTCGATATCTAATGCAACATTATACTTCTAATGCATTTCGACGATCAGCTTCAAGTAACATTTCCTCCATTGCATTTAATAAAATCGGGAATATATTTTTATTTAAGTAATCCGGGACGCTTTCAGATGAATTCATCGTTTGCACGTCAAGAGTTCTACGAGTTTATCAAGCGAATACAGATACGAATCGACGTAAATTATTGCAAACTTTAGATAACTTAGATATAGATGAAATTGGCATGTCAACCTCAACAAAAGATGAAAGCAGGATATTAAGAATGTTAAATATAGAGAGTAAAAGTTGTTTAGATCACATTTCGCTATTTTTGCGAAATTGTGAAATAATGACTGTGTCTCATATATAAATATGTAATCTGTGGAAGCGCGAATTATTATACATTCTCAATGTCCCGCGATTCTATAAAAAACCGATGTCCCGTAACTTGTCCCAAAGTCAGGGAACAACTCCGTATCGCAAGTATGTCTCTTTATAAGATGTCTTTGAATGTGTTATTAATAAATGTTGGTATTTTAAAAACACATAATTAATAAGTTTTGCATAAACGTTTCTTCATAAAACAGTCAAGGAATTTCCTAATGTGACGGACGGGATTTTTCCGCGAAAGAAGAATGATGTTAAACCGCGACTTCCGTCGGATATTATTTCGAACGCTATACGAGACGAACCGAAACATGTAATCGAGACAGCACATGTATCCATCAATGGTGTACGATTTGAAGAGTTAAAGGACATCGAAGCGAAACCAGTGGTTTTCCCGGAGTTTCCGATCGTTAAAGAACCAACTGTCATCCCAACAGAAAAGATAGTTAATGATACTGAAGAAAAAATTGATTTGGAAAAAGAGAAATTAATCGAAGAACTCGCAATTATTCCAGAAAAACCTGTCATTCCAATAAAAAAAGAAATAGATCGTGATGAAGAGAAAATTGATCTTGTTGAAGAAAAGAAATTAATCGAAGAACCCGCAATTATTCCAGAAAAACCTGTCACTCCAATAAAAAAAGAAATAGATCGTGATGAAGAAAAAATTGATCTTGTTGAAGAAAAAAAATTAATCGAAGAACCCGTAATTATTCCAAAAAAACCTGTCATTCCAATAAAAAAAGAAATAGATCGTGATGAAGAGAAAATTGATCTTGTTGAAGAAAAGAAATTAATCGAAGAACTTGCAATTATTCCAGAAAAACCTGTCATTCCAATAAAAAAAGAAATAGATCGTGAAGAAGAAAAAATTGATCTTGTTGAAGAAAAGAAATTAATCGAAGAACTTGCAATTATTCCAGAAAAACCTGTCATTCCAATAAAAAAAGAAATAGATCGTGAAGAAGAAAAAATTAATTTTGTTGAAGAAAAGAAATTAATCGAAGAACCCGCAATTATTCCAGAAAAACCTGTCACTCCAATAAATCGCGATGAACAAAAAATCGATTTGATTACAGAAGAAGAAAAAATAAGTCCAGAACCTGTGATTGTCCAAAAGGAAATTACTAGTCCGATAGAAAGAATCGCAGAAGAACCTATAAAGAAAATTCCAATGGAGAAACCTGAGATTATCGAAAACGAAATTGAACAGGCGCCAGGACCAAAAATTGAATTGGAACCGTCGCGAGAATTAGAAGAGCACTGTAATTAAGAATAATTATTGAAATATGACTTACAGAGAAATTTGACTGATGGTAATTTTGAACGATAATTTTAGTTATGCCAGAGGAGCCCATGGAATATGACGAAGAGGAAGAAGGCAAAACTGAATATGAGCAATATATCGACGAGGAATTGCAGGAGATTCTACCCGCCGTAATAGCGAGGGAAATTCCAGAGGAGCCGAGGGCGGTGCGTACTGAAATTTCCAGGAATGCGGCCACCTTGTACGAGAAAATCGATCACGAAAGACCTGTCAGACCACCGAGGGAGCGAGAAGCAGTGACCGCAATGCCTGAAGAACGACCGGTTAGAGAAGAAGTATCTGTGAGACGAGCTCTCGAGAACTCGAGGCTGGCAGAACAGATTGTTTTACCTGCAGAAGATGCTTGCGAGGAGACATGTCCTTTAGTAAAAGAGCAGAAAGGCAAGCAATTTGTTTATCTTCAGGAAAAAAATTCAGTACTTGTCTTCCGTATTGTATTGATCTTTTTTTCTGGAGATTATTTATATATATTTCCCATTGATTTGTAGAACTATATACATATATATATATATATATTGCAGAACGCATTATGCGTAAATTGAAGATGCGGCAGCGAATCGTAGATCATTATTATCTGACGAAAGGTTTTAACTACTTCGAGGACGTATGCACGTGTTCTTTGGCTTGTATGGTGTATACTTTGAGCAGGGATCCGTTTGTGAAGAGTATATTCGCGTCTTTCGCATTGTTTGCAATCGGATTGAAGCTGTGCTCCGAGCTAGATGCGTGGGAGATGCCGAATCGCATTTCATAAGACCAAAATATCGATAATGGCCAACATGTAATCTTCATCTAAGCCTCTTATAGAACCGCGACAATTTGCATTTAGATTAACAAGACCCCCATTAACTGAATGTGTACAATAACTCGTTTATTCAATATACAGTTATATACAGTTTGAAATTTTATATACAATCATAGAGATTTATAAGTAAATTAAGTATTTAAGATTTATTTAGGATTTTGCTATTTTTTGACGAAGCGAGATTCTGATGATCCATAACAATGCGATTAATACGAATAACGCAATCGCTGATAATAGGATTGCTAAATAATAATTCTGTAAAGCTGTTTCATATTTTGGAAGAATCACTCGCAAAACAATGTCATCCTGCCACTCGACAGTATTGTTTCGATCCAAGACACTTCTGGCACGTCTAATGTGACTGCCGGGACAATCCAGAACACAATCCACAGATTCTACGCATGCCATGGCCTTCACAGTGAGGAAAATCTCGTCGGTCTCTTTCATACCCTCAAACATGAACGCCTGGAAAATTAGGTAGCTTTCCAATGGTGACATCGCATATTGCTCGCGAGGACAAATCTCGTGCACGTCCGGATTTAAGCAACCATCCTTATCGAGGATCAACAGACTGTTAACGATTTTTTGCCGCTGTCGCTCCTCTACGTAATACATTGTCACTTGGCCGATTTTTGAGTGTCGCCAGCCTTTGAACAGAAAGGATAAAAAATGAAAATTGAAATAATTAAGATTGCGTAAATAATTAATGTTCGTTTAAATCTATTTTCATATTTAATTAATATAATTATATAGTTAACGATCTTAATTATATAATTTTAATTTACGATTTTAATTATGTATTTAATCAATTTTTGTTTAAGATTAATTTTATATCAATTTAATAGAATTGTGTAATTGATTTTTCTTTATACGTATCTCTTGTATGTCTTATTTTTTGTGAGGTGAAATTATCGATTTAGTGAATCGTATGTTATATGAAGTAATGTCGATGTCCCAGGTACGCCATTCGTCTTACTAAAGAAATAAAAATGTACTGTCACCGTTCAGTACTAAAGCGCTTACTGTCGTTGCCGTTGATTAATACGCGTAACAAAATCTCTTCGCCTAAGATGACCGTGCCGCCCGATTGTATTTTCGTGTCGAAAATGTTTTTTGAGTCGTAAGTCTTCCTGAATAGTTCAACGTCAATATTCAGAGCATTTTCAGCACCGCCGTTTAGCACGCCTGGTATGTTCCTTGCTTTCCTATGGGGGATATATAATGTATCAGAATAATTCGTTTTCCGCGTCAGATGGATGCTTATTTTTGCCATTTTTTATCAGAAGATAAATGATGCGTCTTACGCTTCTAAAGTCTTCACGCTGATCTGTTTCGTATGATATGCGATTCTGTTCTGGGTCTTACATCGCAACGTCACCCTATGGTCGTCCTTCAATCGTAGACCGGAGATCACAGGGAATCTCAGATCAAGGCAGTATGATTGGTTGTCATCCGTAGAACAATCAACAACCCCGCAATTCCAGACTTGGTCTTTCTCAAAACTAATGCGATAAGAGTCCCTGACTGCTATTGCCTGACAAGCATCACCCGTCACATTATCTATCACCGGTGGAACTGAATTCTTCACTTTGATAGATGCTCTATAATTGTGGATTGTGTGATATGTGTATGAAATTATACGTATGTATACATATTGATTATCAAATTCAAAATATCCATCTCATTAAAATTAATTTAATTTAGTTATATATTAAATTTAATTGTCTCAAAATTAAAATTAAATGTATGATCGATGAAATTGTTTAATCTGCTGAGTGTAAAAACGTTTATTTAAGATTCGAAAAATGTGATAAGGATTAGCTTATAGATGCGGTAAAAAAAAAAAGAATTAAAATCCTCTTGAATTTCATTACCTGAAGAACAATTCGTCTCTCGTGTTCTGACAGGACATCTCCTCAACGCTAACGCGGTTTACGAAGGATGGTGATGTTTCACCGAAAGGAGGAGAAGGAGGAGGAGTCTGCGTTGTGGTCTGTTGAGGGTGTTTGCCTTGTTGGAAAGTAGGTCGACGATGATGCAGAGGTATTCGCAACCCGCCGCTCCCTGGATACCTCGTGTCATACGGATCCTTGCGCGTGGGGATTCGCAAGGAATCCCGTTCAGGAAGATGATACAACGCGTTGGGGTAGTTTCTGGTCTCGTCCGTTATCGCGACTGCTACGTTCCGAGCTCTGTTATCGATCACTTCCGGCAGGGAGAAATCCGGAATCGAAGTTGGAGGTAAATAACTGTTGTCGTGAAGTATCGCTACCTTCGAAATGTTGTTTCTGCGATGGAAATTCACAAAGATCGCATCTCGAGATTCAAATCCATTCGCGAGGTTCGCGTTTTCTGAGGATATCATGCTGATGAAGAAGAGCCACCGATATATCTGCAACGATCACTCATTAATTTATTAAATTATCAGTTTGATGAATTAGTTTGATATTTATAGTATAATGAATTGAGTATAAAAGTATAAAATTTTAGCTTAAGTCTCCTTTTGAATGTAATTTAAAGTTTTTATATTTTCGAAAAATTTAAAATTCTTTCTTAGGATTGAAAATTAGATAATTCGATATTTTCAAGATTCACCTGCGTTGAGCACGTTTTGTATTGCGAATCATAATATAGTTGAGACATACTGAATAGCAGGGTGCGACTGACGATCGGCGAAGCCGTAGGTGGGCTTTTAAAGCGCTTTTAAAGCGCACACCTTCACAAAACCGGATCCCAGTGATCATTGTTCCGCCCGGCGAACAAACATCGGTGAACATCGACTACCAGACGATTTAATAGGTACCGTATTTCGTGATTTGGTTGACGATCAGGTACTTAGCATAAAACATCATCCTCGATTTTAACGCGACTGCCATTAATAATGATAACGGCAGGATCTGTCATCGTCACTCTCACGCTGTTCATTATATCTCGATCAATTTAGGTCAGAAGGTCTCTCTGTGACTCGCATACAGTCGCATGTTCATTTGCAGATTTCTAAGTCGACATCTCTGATATTGTGCATTTTATATTCTGCTTAATATGTTTTTCTAAAAGAAATCGTTAAGTGTTATATCTTATATTGATAATAATGAAATATATATGCATACTCTCCCTCCCCCTATTTAAATATGTATATATTTTTTTAACTCGATAAGATATATATATATATATATCCTACGTAAAATTTAATACAATACTGTATTAAATTTATTACATTAAATTTATTATGTACTTACATAATATACATACATTTTAATGTATGTGTATTATTTTAGTATGTTACATTTATTTTATATCCCAAAATCATTGAAAATCTTCTAATGGATTCTTGAAGATATAATTTTTGAATAATTTTCATTGTGAAAATATTTTATATATTATTATTAATTATTTTTAGAAACATTTGATATATATTAATATAAATTTTGCCGCATTAATGTTTAATACTAAAATAATATTTAACACTAAAATTAATATTCGATTACGTTATAATATACAGTATAATTTATTTCATCGTAACAAATTATCCTCATTATGTGTTGAAATTATTGTACAGTCTAATGTTGATTATTGTTTAATAATTAATGTAATTGATCGCATAGACGTAATGATAAGCGCGAGAAATTATGAAACTATCAAATCGATTATTGACGAAAAAAAAAAAAAAAATTGCTCCAGGTGAGGCTCGAACTCACAACCCCGGCATCGCTCACGAGAACTGCTCTATAAGTACCGTGCGCTAACCAATTGCGCCACTGGAGCTGTTGAAACTGGTCATCGTAAACGGGACTCTTCAGTGATAGTATCGCTAATACTGAAAGCTTTTGGTTCTTATTTAATATATTATCAATTTGCGCATCATAAATAATTTCAACATTTTTACAAAAATCGAGTTGAAATAGAAACGAACTTTAAATTTCTCGAATAGTCGCCAAGTATCCAACATATTTATGTATTCATGCATCGTATTTATTTGTTTTTATTACACTTTATTTGACTTCTTCTATTCAATTCGCAAGGAAATTGATGACGTCTATTTGACAACTCATGTCTAATTGTAAGATTTTATCGTTACTTGATTTTTCAACTGAATCTGCACTTTCCCTTAAAAACGCAATAGATACATTTAGAAAGAGAGAAACGCAGGTATAAAATTTGTAAAAAATACTGAACAAATGAAATTAAAGAATATACTTTTGTTTATTAATCGAATATCCTCGAGTCTACAAAGTTAATGACAGGATCAAAATGAAACAGATTTAGGTCACATTTAGGTTAGAGTAGAAAGAGAGAGAGAGAGAGATACGATGAAAAAAGTGCAAAAGGTGCAATTGAAAGGAAATCTCTGATGTTCATGTTTTCACATCGTAAAGTTTAGATTGTGCGTATTGTGTGATCGATCCCACGTTGCATTTCGCATCTTCAAGGAAATGCGGCCGAAAGATCAGCGGAAATCAGGAAAAATATAAACAAACAGAGCGAGGAAGGAAAGCTGCTAGAACGGAGATCGCGAGAAACGGAAATTGACAACACTAGCTGCGACAGTACGCACTCTTCGCGAACATGTCGACTGCTAAATACATTTTGACAGTCGTGTGAGAAAAAGGAGGATCCGCCACCGATTTCGAGACCGCGCCTCACCGTCACGATCGTCGCCCTAGAGGATGTCATGTACGTAAATCGCGGTGACACGAGGCGGAAGGAATGCGAGGAAATGCCACGTAACAGCGCGGTAGCATGCTTGTTTTTCAGAGCCGAAACATTCCCGCTTATCGCGACATTAATTTCCCGTCGACGATTTATGTCGGCTTAGAGAAACACGCGCGGCTTCATTTAACTTAACTTGGCTATATGTATTTTGCAGGCACTCTGTTTTTGTCGCATATTCTACACATTGTAAAGGTTACATTGTATTTATTTGCATCTTGTACAGTAGAGCTCATGACTTATTTTGTTTCCCTTGTAGGCATAAAACATGAGCTGGTTTGATGCCACGGGATTTGCCAATTTGGCAAAGTCTGCTTTGAAGGGAGCACAAAAGACCATAGACAAGGCTTTGGATATCAAGGAGGAAGAACCAAAGGTAATTCAGTCGCATGCAGTGGAAACTTCAGATTTTTTTACTAGTTGGGGAGTACAGAATGAACAGGAGATTAGCAAACGTGATAGCAATCCACAGAAACAACCAAATTCGAGTAGTATTTGGGGTAGCTTTACAGGCTCGTTTTTTGAACCTGCAAAAGTAGATGGAAATGGATGGAAGACTGTCAAGCATTCCAAATCCTTGCAAAATACTATCAATCGAGATGAACAACACAGCATGGTGTTTTCTACTTCAGCCCCTGAAAAATTGGTGACAAAGGACTCAAAGTCCGCAATAGCAAAGAATGAGTCTGTACATAAAGAAGATAAAGGAGAGTCTAGTGCTATCAGTGAATCTGTAAATACTAATCGTAGCGAATCTAATGATAAAACTATGTCAGAATCTTGTATATTATCAGAACAATCGTCTTTAGATAATGTTGTTTCTATTAGTACCGATAAGACTAAAAGTGCCAGTTTAGACTTGGAACAAGTATACTATGCACCAATGGCGGACAATACCGACAGTGATTCTACGACAAGCCCTGATAGGGAAGAAGAAAGCCAATATGACAATGAAGTGGCATCAGAAAGCGACGATGTCAATCATACGTTGAATCCCACTAATGTGTTCCACCAAGTACCTAATGTTTCCTCCGAGAGCGATAAGAAAAGCCTGGAGAGTGTAGAGATACTTGGTTCGCAATCCAACACCGATTGCACTACCACACCGGAATCAGATCCTAATTCTGTTACTAATTCATTAAGTCCTTCTGTCATTGATATCAAGATAAATTCCGAATCAGTTGAGATACTACCCGACAGTTTGGTAACGTCACCGAGCTCCGTGGAGATCCTGGGAGATTGGAAGAGCGATAGCAGTCCTTATCTATCTCCAATAGATCAAAAAAATTTAGAGTCATCTTCTGTTCTGGGCGAAGATGAATGTGCTACTCCATGCATAGACTGTGTCGACATGTTACAACCGCCAAGTAGAGATCAATTCGCAGAAGCTTCATCATCCGATATCTCACCGTATGAATCTCCAATGGAGGAGATCAAAACATTGAACATCAGTCCATATCCTAATAGTGTTGATAGTTCACCGTCACCCAATACGTTTTCTAGCTTGGACACGAATAAAAGTTTGTCAGACGCGACAAATAACTCAAAAACCTCCCCCGAAAGCGTCGAGGTGATACCGGACGTAGAAGAGGCAGACGAAGTGAGCTTGGCCGAAGATTCTTACACTTCCGCTTCTGAAGGTACAGTCATGACAGTATTTGAACCATTACAACAAATGGATACGACTAAAAATAAGATGGAATTGAGCGATATAAAGATACCTATAAAGATGCACGATTCATGTCCGGATGATAGGCAAATCTCAACAAAGGCTTGCACAGAGAACAAGTTAAATTTAAGTCTTGATTCACTGAAAGAGAAACATAATTTGCATCTGACACTTGAGCCAATTACCACACAGCCAATTCGCAAATTGGATCATTTGGAAGGAGTAAATGAGAAATCGGATGTTTCCACTTTTTCCCAATTAATGAGTACCACTATAGAACCACCGGATCCAGATAGTCAAATCGAAAACCTAGAAGAAACAAAAATGATTGAGAGTAATACTGACCAATATTTTATATCTACCGATTCGAGCAGGGAAGGTACCTTGATAGAGAGCAGTTCGGAGGATAACGCAACATTAATCTGTACGAATGATTCCAAAGTCCTGGAGACGCCTTTGACTACTAGTTCTTACGTGAAGACCATGTTAGCTGATGCTATGGTCGAAAAGGGTGAAATGACTGATATGGAGACCCATTGCACGGAAGTACCGCGAGAAAATTCGCCTATATCGTCGGAAAGGTATTATTTAATTTACATATATTTTATTCATATTTATAACCACTTTTTTTTATCTAAGATCTATTTTTATAGTCGTTCCGATCTTGTAAAAATTGGATCTGATCAAGCTAGTGGACATACAAGTGGAGATGAATTAGAAACTACAACATCGAGCGACATCGAAATAATATCTAGGTATGAGTATAATATTCGTATTTAACATTCAATATATCAATACTTAATATATTATTTGTCAACAGTCCTAACGGAGATTCAAGTTCGACTCAATCGCGACAGAGTCCGGCGAAATTGCAATTGAGTAAAGGTGGTGATTTGTTAACAAAAACTTTAAAGACTCGAGGTCATTCTCGAGAATTGAGCGAAATCAGCGTAGGATCGGATGAAACGAATATGGAAATTGAAAAATTATTGAAACGAATACAGGAGATGACCGAGATTTTAGAAGCGAGAGAATCAAAGTTAATCGACGTAAGCAGGATAAATATGGAATTACATGAACAAAATACAAATTTAATGAAGTAAGATTGTCCTAATTGTCTCAAAATATTATTCTATATTGAAATAACAGATATCATGAACAGATATGTTTCACAGACAGCTCGAGAATTTTGAAAAACATGCGGAGCAAAATCAAAATATCAATCAAATCACAGATGAATATACGCAACGTCTGTCCGCACTGGAAAGGAAATTTCAACAAGCGATAAGGGAACGTGATCAATTGAGAAAAAATTTAGATCAGTTGAAGTTGGAAGCGGCTTCGCGTTTATCGTCGCAGGAAATGTCTAGCATAAATGCCGAGAAGGATGAAATTATAAAGGAGCTTCGCGAAGAGGGCGAGAAACTCAGTAAACAACAACTTCAACACAGCAACATTATAAAAAAGCTGCGCGTAAAAGAGAAAGAGACTGATGCAACGATAAAGAGTCAAAAGTATTTTAATTATTTTTTTGCTGTTTTAATTATATTAAAAATAAATGATAGCAAATGATAATTATATTTATCGCAATTTTTACTTTATTATTTTTCTAGAGAGCAAATAGAGGAACAAAATACAGAATTGGAGAGATTGAAACGATCGTTGTATGCGAAAGAGGAAGTAGAGCGTAGTCAAATAGAAGCCGTTCACACGTTGACAGCGAAAACGAAGAAGCAAGAGAAAGAGATACTAATATTACAAGAAAAATTGGATAATACGATGCATAAGATGGAGGCCTTCAAGAAGAGCTTGGATGCTGCAAAAATGTAAGTATAGAATTATTAATTGATTCTAAAACGAAAACGAGTTTTATATACATAATAAAAATTTCTCTATATAATAGAGACTTAGCAGAAACAAAAAAAAAATTGTTAGTTACTGAAGAGGATTTAAAAGAAGCTGTAGATAACGCGGGAGAATCGTGCCAATTGTTTGCACAAGTGGAGGATTTAAAATTAAAATACCGTCAAGCTGAAGAAGCACACGTCAAGTAAACATATATTAGTTACATTCATCATAAATAATTTTCATCATAAATAATTTTAATTCTAATACTATTCATTTTTTATTATAGAAGGGAAGAATTTTTCAAGCATGAAAACAACGAATTACTTAAACGATTAGAAACAGCAGAGGCTAGAAGTGAAGAGTTTTCTGAATCCGTCTCGGTAGCAACAAAACCTTTATTAAGACAGATAGAACAGCTTCAAGCGAACTTATTACATAAATCCAATAGTTTCATGAAGCAGGAGAAGGTTTTATCGGAAAAAAATATTGAATTGCAGTCAAAAAACGAGAATTTAATCGAGATGGATCGTCTTCTAAGAGAAGAGAATGTTAATTTGAAATCCAAAGAATCCCATTTAGAATCGAAGCTCAATTTAAAAGAGAAAGAAAGATTGAAATTGCAGGAATTTCACGATAAATTAAAGGAAGAAAACGAGAAATTATTAGAGCAAAATAAAGAGTAAGCGTTTAGAATATATAGACATATATTTTTGAGATGTAATAATATTCAATTTATAACAAAATTCAAATTGCAGACACCAAGATGCGATAAACATTCTCGAGCAGACACATTCCAGTTATATACAGGAACTGAAGAGAGAAATAAACGCACTAGAGAATAAATTAGCAGTTGAAAAGGCAGCGACTGACGCAGAACGGAGAAGAAATAACGCAATATTGGAACAACAGCAAAATACTGACGAAGAATCACGATTTAGCCCTACTCTCAGTATAGGACAAGAATCCGTCAGCAGTGCAAATAGTGCCTGGCCAGGTGTATGTATAGAAATCACGATTTATAATTATTATAGAAATTATAATTGACAATTACATAATGCAAAATTTGCTTTTTACAGTTTAGCGATTCAGTATTTGATAATAACTCCGGTAGATTTCCTCCAATACCATATGAAAGTATTATAACGGGTTCGAGTAGTACATCAATCTTTGAGAACTTGCAAGCGCAATTAAAACAAAGAGATGGTAAGCTTACGTATTGTACACGTATATTGATATCGCTAATTTTGTTTTTTGCTAGTGTCACTAATCTTGATTTCATCTTTTCATCTCAGGTGAGATACAGCAACTTCAGTGGGAATTATCTCGACGAAATGCAGAGAGGGATGCATTGAACTCGGAATTAGCAACATTAACTTTGAAAGTAGAGGATTTGAGTGCCAATGTCGCAGAAGCACAAGCACTCAACGCGAGTCTTAATGAAACCCAAACCAGATACGATGCGTTGCTACAAATGTATGGCGAAAAGGTCGAGGAGAATCAGGAGCTACGATTAGATCTCGAGGACATTAAGGAGATGTACAAAATGCAAATTGATCAACTTTTAAAACGACAGAATTAACTTTGCTGAAAATGCAAAATTATCGGAAACGAAGACTTACACGCAGCCTACAATTCTCTATGAAATTTTAATTATACATACGCACTTCGACACGTTTTATCACATAATCAATTTGTCTATTTCTAGTAAGATTCGGCGTATAACAAAGTTTTATAGTGGATGACTTTAATAATACGTATAGTCTAATATAAAAAATGTATTTACATTATTTAATGCAAACGGAAATTTGTGATAAAGGATTTAGATGCCGATTAAGATTTCGAATGAAGTTCTTTCTGTGAAGTTAAATATATATTTATCGAGGATTAGAGAGAGATCTTTAAAAAATGTAAAAGAGGTATCAAAACTTAATTAATTATAATATCTTTTTGTCCTTCTGCATTGTTACAATTATTATTATTTCTTATGTATAATTATATTATTGTTTCATATATACTTTAATTTTACTATTTAATATCAGGGAGGCTCATGTGATATTGGATTGTATTATACAATGTTTAAATATATAATGTATATAATATATTGAGAAAATGTACTTTATCAAATATAGTGATATAAACATTAATAATTCCTTTATTGCACTAAATGACGTAAATTATCGAATCCATATTTTTTATACTTTTGTAAACTTTTCGGAAATGTAATACGTAGAACATAATTTCGGTAAATGATGCAGAAATCTGCAATACGTTTAATTTTAAATATTACACAGCTAATGGATTTACGGTGCATAGTAATTGTCTGTTTCACGTCCACGCATGATATCACGTTTGCCTTGGTTATATTTAGAACAGTCCAGTGCGACAAGATGCACCGCTCGTGGAGATCCGCGATTACTCGTGTATTTCAAATGTCATAATTTTTTGGCAAAATCATTCGCGGTTGCTCTCTAAATTCCTCGTCCATTCTTGCCAAAGTTCCGATTTTAATTATCTCGGGTAATTTTTATTATTCTGTGAGTATATATCGAAATTATATATGTGTACTCTCTTTCTCTCTCTAACATGTATGTTCTTCGATATTTTCCATATTTTTCTTCTCGATATGAATTATTTACCCGATTTTGAAAGATATATATTGACTTTATACAATTCTGTTATCATAATTAATTGTCGTTTAATATCATATATTGTTTATAATATAATTTAAGTGTGAGAAAATATATTATTAAATTATAAATTTCAAATTATATTTTATATAGAGATATTTTATTTTGCGCGTACAATTGTATATATCTTAAGTCCACTTTTGCAAAATGTGATACATTATAAAAGCAAAATTAATTTATTTGTATATTTAATTCTCGACATTAAAATATTTTACATTTATAGGTTATAATTATGAAAGATATACATATGCATTGAAACAATAAAAAAATTTAAGAGACATGCTCTTTAATATATGATATGCTTTACTAGAACTGTGCTTTAATAGAAGTGTTTATGGAAGACTTGGCTTCGATAAGAAGACAAATTGTTAATTCACAGAAGAGAAGGAGGCCAGATGTAATACTGCATAACAGAAATGTAATGATTCCCATTCTAAAACCTGTGCCTTTTAAGCAGAGCTGCGACATGTCCTTTTTAGAAAGCAGGTGTCAGATTCTGAGAGCAAAACACTATAGTAATGATACTCCATTGCCATTTTCAGAGACACCCTTGCAAACATTATATGATCCCTTGGAAAACTCGCTCGAGGTCAATCCAAATCTGTATATTCTAGAAGATATTTCTCTTTTTCCTTGTTTTATTATATACTTTTGAATGCAATCTCGAAAAATATTAAATATTTTGTTTAATATATTAGTATATATTTAATCTGTATCTAAAACTTGAAACTATAGGTACAAAAAATTGGTCACTGGAAATCCAAGAATCAAAATACAAAATATACAATTTTTGAAAAGACTGATTCTCCAAATATTAAAAAAACCAGTGCTTCGCAAAACTCATATCCATGTAAGAGATCCTCTCGCAAGAAAAAATATGATGCATTACAGTTTCCCAATACAGTGCTTCCGCAACCTGAATCATTGATAAATAAAGATTTACACAAGGCAAGTTCAAGATCTATAAAATTATCAAGAAAGTGTGATCTATCACAGATAAAGGAAAGGCAGACAAAACATAAAGCTATGTTTACACTTTTACCAAAAATAGAAACATCAATTAATAATGTTATAGGCAAAACAGTTGTGTCATCACCAAATCAATCATTCTATGATATCATAGACACTACCTCTGCAGTGTCGACACAGTCAAGCTTAAAGATCAAGAATAAAAAAACCTTTCCAAACATTATAAATAGGGAAAAATCAGTACCTAGTTTAGTATCTAATCATTTGCATCCTAGTACCAGCGAATATGAAATAAATGTTTTACATTATGAGAATGACATTCTGTCAGAAAATAACTTCCCACAGTTTGCACAATCTTATTTGAAATCCACTGACACAAATTGCAGTTTAATTAAAATTCAGAATGACAATATTGCTAATGAGAGAAATGCAATGAAAAGTAATAAAGGGGACAAAGATAAGATTATTAGTGACATGAAATATTCATGGGAAATGAAGGATTGGATATCACAGTCTCAAAGAAAAAAATATGACAACACAAGTGAAATAAAAATTACTGGGAGGAATGACAAAAGTCCTTATGACTGTAAGATAAAATATTCTTGGCAGATTATTGGAACAAGCACGCAGACATCATATACTTTATTGGAAGATTTATTAAATAATGTCATTATGGAAAATAATAAGTCTTTGTATAAAAAGTGCAACATTAAATATTCCTGGCAAATTATAGGGATTAGTACGCAAGCGTCTTTGCAAGATTGTAATGACTCAGATTATTGGAGCGGAATATTATTGACACCGAGTAAGAATTATAATGAATACAAAGCTAAAATTGATAATAATGAAATAGATCATGCTGAACAAGATTATGCGAGATATCCAAAAAGAAAATTGAAGAAATATTTGATATTGAACAATCAGCAAACCCAAACTTTCACTGAGAAAGAAATTCAAGTTGATTGCAATGCAAAATATTCTTGGCACGAGATGCTTAAACAATATCTGTAATTAATAAAAAAAATGCAATTTGCAAACTAATATTTATATGTATTTAAATATTATCGATAATTATTTATATTAATTCAGCTCGTTGATTATTTTTCCAGATATGGAACAAATTTCAGAAGCACTGAAACAAAAGCTGTCAGATAAATTGGAACTAGAGCAAATCACCAATCATGACGGATTATTACACAAATACACGATAAAACCACTAACGCCAAATATTTCTAGTAAAAGTTCTGTGATATCCGATAACGGCAATGAAAGGACGAAGAAGGAAGAACTTCTGATGAGATTAACTTATGCATTAAACAAATTAAATCAATATGAACGAAATATCGAAAATAAAAAAAGCATAGAAACATCATGTCTTGATGCAAAAGATACTTTAACACAGAAAGGAGTCGTATTGCCACGGAATGTGGAAGAAAATGCCAAAGGCATTATACAATCTGCACAGGAATATATAGCGAAATTGGATTATCAATTGAAAGATCTCGACAATGCTGATCAGCAGGTAAATAGGTGTTTTTAAAATTTATTGACATTATTTTATTAAAATTGTTGCTTATTTTTATGGTGACTGCAATAACATAAAAAAAATTGTTTTGTCAGATAGAAAATAGTATGATGAGAACATTAAAAGATATAGACGGGACGTTTCAATCTTTGTTAGATGATGTATGCCACGAAATTAATAAGAGACGCGAGCTGTTGATACTGGAGACAGAAATTCACAAACATGAGAGTCTGATACCATTGAGGGCTTGTAGAAGGGAAGTAGAGGTACAGTTGCAAAATGCACAGAATATTATATCGATGAGCGAAGGTATTTTACAACATCCGTATCGATACACTGTAAATGGATTTGGAAAGATAATTTCTGCAAGTAATGATATAGGCAGGTGAGAATTTCGTGATTGTAATTTAAGAATTATGTTGAGTATTTCTCAGAAATATATGTTTTAATTTCATTTCTAAGGATCCCAGCAGTGCCATATTCCGAGGAGCTTCCAAATATAAACTTTGATCGTCCACTGAACTCGTACAAGGAAGAGATTATAGAACAGATATCGAAAGTTGGCTGCATTTCTCGCACAATACCTGTTCAGATAATGAATATTGAAGAGAGACCAGCAGGTTTATTCGTTAAATGGCACGTAACTAATCCGGAGTATTTTGCCGAGGAGCAGATATTTATTGTAGAGAAAGCTAATGGGGAGGTTCTCGATTCGGCATCGAACAAATTTGAAACGGTGTACAGAGGATCCGAGACTTCTTGTTTTATTAGAAATATACCTGTTAATCAATTAATTACACTCAGAGTTAGAATACAAGCAGATAACATCGCAAGGAGTATACATCACGTCACACGAACTTCTATACCACCGTATAGTATGTATAGAGAAAGCAATATTAAGCTGTATTAAAAATAAAGCTTTTCTAACTTTTATATAGGCATTTTACTTACATTTGATTTGATGGAGCTACGAAACTTTTAACTTTATTTTTTAATCTGATTTAAATATTTAATATTATCTGATCTGAAGAACACAGTTTTGAACTAGGAAAAGAATACTTTAAAAACTTTGCTTTTCATGTAAAATTTATTAATGTAAATAATAAAAAAAACTATTTTTAATGATTACAGGCTGGGAATTTGACAACAAGAATTATATGATCACTAATGGTAAAATTGCTGCAAAAGTTACGAATACTATAAGCACACTGTTCTCACAAGGTCCTCAATTCAATGAGAATCACATAATTGAATTCAAGGTAACTATATATACAATGTCATTTTATTTACATTTTTTTTCATCGTACGTTACATTTTTTCTACGTTTCAATTTGTCTATCATAGTTTTTAGAAGTTCCACAAGAAGGAGACGATAACGAAGGTATTGCGTTAGTTTATGATCCGCAAGGTAGTAATGATACCTTAAAAAGAACAGCGTCACTAATGATCACACCTCAAGGTAAAATCTTCATGGACGGTGACGAAAAACTGATGCGCCTGCCAAAAATGCGTTTCGGTGCGATTATTATGATCTCTGCTTTCCGGAAAAATGCTCATGTATTGCGAGTGAATATCGAATCTGAAAATAAATGTGTTACATATGACTGGCGTGTGCAAACGCCGCTGTATCTTGCCGCCCGGTTTACAGAGTCCAAAAAATGGCATTTGAAGATTGAGTAAAGATGAGAGATATACGCGCAAATTTATCTTTATTGTAGGATACAAAGTGCACAATGTAATTTTGTAGCAATAAAAACAAAGTGCCTTACTGTAAGAAAGTATCGCATTCAACCAGAACATCCTCTACAGCCACAATGTATGCATTCCACTATTCGACCTTCCTCAAGTTTACCTTTCGGCACTCTGCAGATACAGTTTGTACCGAAATTCGTGTCTCTCGTCTGAATGCAGCGTAGACAGCACAAATTTTCATAGCCAACTTTCTTCCACTTGGCGATCAAATTTTTGTCAGCAATATTTTCATTCAAACAATAATCATATAATTCTGAAATAAATAAAAGCATAAAGAAACCAGATACATCTTTTAAATTCTTTTTAAGAATTAATCTTTTAAATCGGTTTTTTTTTACAATATTTAACTTACCGCGACTAATCGCCTTTCTCCTATAAAACAAGTCGTATATATATCGAGATTTCTGATGATGTATTTTGAATATCGGCCACAAGGATTCCTGTTTCCTCTTGCCTTCATGAGGCTCCGTCTCGGCTGTAAAAGAAGAAAAAGAAACCGCGTCTTAAAGCATCCTTCCTGTTAAATTAAAACAACTAATCTAACCTCGCAAAGAGCAAAACACTCACCTTCGCGCATCTTCTGCTCCAATTCTTCCAGAGTCGGTTCGATTAGCTCCCAACCATCCGGAGGCGGTTTCTTGCTTCGTCGTACTTTTGGCATGATTTATTTTCAAATAAATTTATATTTCAAGGAGTTCTATCAACAAACAGCGGTACACTATTCCATTATAAAGGTGCCTTTTCATGCTGACGCTCGACGCTCATTTTCGGCATCAAAATAAGTCACGTGATAGAAATTGACGAATAGCGTCAATTTTGATCACGTGAACTATTTTGACGCTGAAAATGAGCGTTGAGCATAAAAAGGTACCTTAATCGATGTCATAGACGGGATAATAGCTAGAGAACATACGAGATGTTAACGACCGCTTTTCTATCTCGCTCCCACTCTATTTATCGCATACGCATTTTTATAAAATTCTTTTATTCACATACATATCAGTGCGTACGTGCATGATTAGCGAGATATTTGAGAGTGGATTGGAGTGGATATTAGCACAACTATCTTATAAATTTTATCAGTATTTATCTTTGCATATATATATATATATATGTAGTAGGACACATTTCGCATGAGATTACAGCCACATCAATTGTAACTGCATATGTAGACGATTTTGTATACAGATTGTTCTAAAATGTTATCGAACAAATATTTTAACTTTTTACAAGGAAATTATGAAAAAAGAAAATAATCGTTGTTGACGGGGCGATTTTGGCAATTTGAGTCTGATGTGAACGAGTAGCATATAATTCTATATTCCGATTTTAAATTAATAATAAATTATTATTAATAATAAATTAATAACAAAAAATTAATTTAAGACAATAAATGATTATAGTTTCATAATTGAGACTCGTCGATGTGAATTTGCAAATTTCGGAATTTTTTTACAAAATCCGCAAATCTATTTCATAATCTTAACTTAACAAGCGACTCCATACTTACCCAACGCAAAATACGTGACTAATAACGTATCCGATTATTATATACCGGACACCTTGTATAACGCAAGTATTAAAAAAAAGGACCGGCAATATCGTCCAATATCATCTCTGACATCGAGGTAATGTGACGAATGGTGACGAAGTCGTGATTTCAAGAGGATTACATACGCATTTATTTCTTGCCTTGATTGTCGTTGATGATGCCACTCGACTTTGGCCATCACTGATTAATATTTCATCTTTTGTACAAAAATCGTCACAGAAGAATGGGTCAACGAGTGTCAAGAACGGATTTCGAATGGGTTTATACGGAGGAACCGCATGCCTCGCGGCGTAAAATAATTCTAGGTAGTATGAAACTCGCGAAAAGACTAGCATGTGTGATATTTGATGATTATTTTTATTTTTATTGTAAATATTTGAATACTGCTTTTGGAATATTAGACACATAATTGTAAAATTGGAAAGACAGATACGCATAACCACGCCTATTTTGAGGACCATCTGCTCGAATATCTTTATGATAAAATAATACTTTGAATGTGAAAACAGCACCGCAAAACATTAATTGAACTTATAGATATTTATGTTTTTTTTAATTTATTGTTGTTTAAAACATGAAGTATCATTTTGAGATATGTTTAAATATTTATTATTAAATGACGTACTGATATATGAATGATACAACTAAGTAAATTTATTGTAACTATTTGATATTGTACAAATTTATATTGGAATGTAATGTATTAGGAAAAATTCAACAAGTCTAATTAAAATAATATTATTTTAGAAATGTATTTTATGTTGATTTTCATGTAGTTTACCAAATTTTGTAATCTCTACAGTAAAATTAAATATATATATTGTATTTAAATTAATCATATTAAAATATATTACTTTAATCAATAATTAATTTTTTAAATTATAATTTTTTAAATACTTTTTATTTTAGAGAAATATCCACAAATTAAGCAGTTATTTGGCTATGACCCAAATTTCAAATGGGTTGTTACTGGGATGGTATTAATACAGTTTCTATCATTCTTTATTGTTAAAGATTTGAATTATCCCAAACTCTTGCTATTAGCATATTGTTTTGGAGGTGTAATAAACCACTCTCTTATGCTTGGTACGTATACATTTTATTTATTATATTTACATTATATTTACATTTTATTCAATACAGTAAAGTTAGAATTTATCAAGTATCATGCTAATGTTTAATACATTAACATTTGTGGTATATGTATGTGGTTATTCATGTTTGTTTTGCAGCGATACATGAAATATCTCATAATCTTGCCTTTGGACATGCCAGGCCTATGGCTAATCGAATATTTGGTTTTTTTGCAAATCTGCCAATAGGAATACCGGTATCTATCAGTTTTAAGAAATATCATCTTGAGCACCACCGTGTAAGTATTGCAAGAAATGATAAAAATTGATAATAAATGTTGCATTATCTAGTAATTTAATATGATATGTAATTTAATGTTTGAATTATATTTAAGAGGTATACTTTTTGCATTTTTAGTATCAGGGAGATGAAAAATTAGATACAGATTTACCAACATTATTAGAAGCGAAATTATTTTGTACAACTTTTGGGAAATTCTGTTGGATACTGCTACAACCTTTTTTTTATTCATTTCGACCTCTTGTAACTTATCCAAAAGCACCAACTTCATTAGAATATATAAATTTAGTTATACAATTGATATTTGATAGTTGTGTATGGTATTTTTTCGGTAAGTTTCAAAATTTGTAAAATATCAGGATGCAATTTATATTAATAATATAAATTAGTAGAAATTATTCAGTTACTAATAAAAAATAAAATCTGGTTTTTAGGTGGTAAAGTACTATTTTATTTGCTTTTTGGCTCTGTTATGGCAATGGGATTACATCCTGTAGCAGGTCACTTTATATCGGAACATTATATGTACAAAAAAGGTTTTGAGACTTACAGTTATTATGGTCCTCTAAATTTCATTACTTTCAATGTTGGATACCACAATGAACACCATGACTTTCCTGCAGTGCCTGGTTCGAGATTACCAGAAGTATATCAAAATATTATAGCTTAGATGTAATTGTTGTACACAATATAACTTGTTTATTATTTCACACGTTTTTTTACGTTTTTATAGGTAAAACGTATAGCCGCAGAATTTTATGATAATTTACCACAGCACAATTCATGGGTTTCTGTTTTGTATGATTTTGTGATGGATCCTGAAATCGGGCCGTATGCAAGAATGAAGAGAAGGCATCGAGGATTAAATTGACAAATTTTCTAATTCTTCTTAGTTTTTCTAAGAATGTACTACATAAGATTTATACATCACTAATTCTGCATATTGTTATGTAGAATTGCATGTTATAACAATTTAAAAATTATAGTATTCGGAAAAATGAAATGTGAGAGTTACATGCTGAGAGACTTGTAAGCATATTGCGTACATTGTAATATAAATTTCAGAAAAATTTAGGGATAATATATATTATTCTATGGGCAACTTTTCAATGTTTCTACTAAATTGTTTTCACGAAGATTTTTAAATCTAATTTTCATGGAAGGCTATTTCTTGAAATCTAGTCACTACGCTATCAATAACTTGATTAATTATTCACGTCATTTAATATGCATTATTTTTTCTATTCATTAAATAGAAAAGATAGACATAATTTATCTTTAATTCTAATTAAAATTTTGACCAATTTAAATTGGTTACCAATTTCGTCTTTTATTTAACTATAATGCTGTTTAAATTAACTAAATTGTTAACATGATATTAATATTTTCGGTGAATTTGGAATTTTTAATCAGATTTTCGAGATTTACTTTAATATTGTTCCAGATCCTATATGATTTTACAAATCCAAATTTTTCAATTCAATTTATAAAAATTGAATTTTAATCGTTTGGAACAATTTAATCAGTATTATAGTCAAAAGTGCTATATATTTTACAGAATAAAATGGATCTGTGATACAAAAATATATATTGTATACTTTTATGTATAACGATTTTGATAAATGGGATTGTTATTAAAAACTTACAATTAGATCTTACAGAAAAATGCGGTACGTCATATAACACAAAATTGTATATATTACTTCAATCAGAACCTAATAATTCATAGACTATTTGTCAAAATAATTATATATTTTCCAACAAATTTAAAAACATTAAAATGGAACGTATATAAAATTTCTAAGAGTTGTTTTATTTTAATTTATTTTATACCAAAGAGGCTTATATTCAGAAAACAAAAAGTCCAAATTCGAGCCGGATCCACAAATTATGAGTCAATCGCATTGAGCGATAAGCTTGGTGCTCCAAAAAATCTGGGGCCTGTGAAGAAAATCGTTCATCACGGGATGCATGGTGTGTGTGTCTGTGTGTGTGTGTAGCTACGGTTTCGCTAGGCTGCCGTCTGATTTTGTGTCGCTGGCTAAGTATTCAGGCGCCTTTAAAGAGCATATTGAAGCACATGTGATTGTATGGTTAGAATCTGAGGAAAATATCAATTAAAATATTAATTAAAGATTTATTAAAGTACTTGCACATAAATCGACTGCACTTTGTATGCAAAATATGTTTGCGCCAACCACGTTTAAGTGAATAATCTAAATAAAATAATCTTTATAAGAAAAGATTTATCAATGATTTTAAGGTTAACATGTAAGCACACATGTGACATGTGTGTATGTGTTACATTATTTTATATTAGTGACAATAAAATTACGAGTCTTATTTTACAATAAATATTAAAACACATTGCATCATATTACTTAAATGCACATATTATTTATTATTTTTTTGGAAATTATTTCAGAATTTTTCTTAGAAGATGAAGAAAGAATTCGATGATGATTTCACTACTGGTGAAACTGTCACTGGTATTAGGCAGAAATGGTACGAGGAATATCACAAGGCAGAAGGACCCTCCAAGCACTCCAAGTCCGAAGCTGACGTTCTGCATTTAAGGGATGAAGGAAAAAGGTATCTGGATGCAGAAACCACTGTCTTTCAGTTGAAACAATCCAGATTACATGATTCAGAGATGAAATGGTTAAAAACTGCATTGCAACGAGGTACCACCTCGGATAAAATAGCAGCCAATATAGTGCTGGTGCAAAATAATCCCAAATATAATCTCAGTCGTCTGATATCCCTGATATCTCAAGTACGAGGCGCCAAACACAATCAAAGTGGCATGATTATTACATCGTTGAAAGAACTCTTCCTGGAGGATTTATTGCATCCTAAATTTAAATTATTAAAATTAGAAGAACAGGACTTGGACAAGCTCAATATAGAGAATGAATCAGATTCCATTATTATGACAAACACCGCTAGAAAAAGATTATTGGCGCACTGGTATTTCGAAGATCAACTACGAGAACAATACGAACGTTTTGTTCTGAATCTCTCCGCGGTGGCTTCAGATACGGTAGATACAAATCGTGAGAAAGCCATATCCGCGATAAGTGGTCTGTTGATAGATAACTCCGAGCAGGAGCACAAATTGCTGGAGTTACTTGTGAATAAACTCGGCGATCCAAGCAGTAAAGTTGGATCTAAAGCTGTATTTTGTATAAATAAATTACTGTATGAACATCCGAACATGAAACTCGTAATTTTACGTGAAGTTGAAAAATTGTTATTTAGAAGAAATGTGAGCCAGCGTACTCAATATTACGCTATATGTCTACTATCACAATATGTTCTGAATAAAAATGATGGGGAAGTAGCTGCTACACTGATAGAAGTGTATCTTGCATTTTTTAAAGCTTGTTTGAAGAAAGGGGAACCTGATAGTAGAATGATGGCAGCAATTCTAATGGGTGTTAGTAGAGCATATCCTTTTGCCAAAATAGAATCGAAGATAATAAACGAACACATTGATTCTATTTACAAAGTGGTACACCTTGGGTCGTTTAATGTTTCTCTCAATGCACTTAACTTGTTGCATCAGGTAAGTACCGTGAAATAGCATTTGTTGCAATATATAAAATATTTATGTGTTTTCAGTTTGTAATTGCATTTTCAGATAACAAGCAAGGATGAGTCTCAGGCGAACCGATTTTATTCAGCCTTTTATAAAAAATTATTCGATCGACAAATAGGAATAGCGAATAAGCATGGGGTGTTTCTTAACTTATTGTATCGAGTTCTTCAGAGGGATCAAAGTATATTACGTTCATATGCTTTTATCAAAAGAATTTTACAGATTACATTTTATTTTCCTGCAAATATGGTATGTGCCATGCTTTACATTGTCTCCAAAGTTCTTCAAGGACGCAAAGACTTAAAACATATGTTGCTTGAGCCATGTAAGGCTATTAAAGTCGAAAATGATGTATATGAAGTAAACGATAGCTTATCAGATACGGAAGACGTATGTGTAATAGAAAATGAAAACTCTATTATGTTATCGAATATTATGATTGGTGCGGATAGCGAAACGAAATCGGATGTGAAGAAAGAGGCAGACGTAAAAGTTGAGATGCAAGATATAAAATCATACGATCCTTTTTGTTGGAATCCTTTGTATGCGGGTGCAACAAAAGGACTCAATGCCGAGCTTGAAGCGTTGTCTAGGCATTTCCACCCGAGCGTCTCTTTATTTGCGAATCAAATTATTCAAGGTAACAAATTCTATACAACAAATTTTCTATACTACAACAGATTTATATCGTTCGATACTATTATTCGACGATATTTATGCATTTTTATATTTTAGGGAAAGCGATCGAATATACAGGTGATCCTTTGGAGGATTTGACATTGATTCGATTCTTGGATCGATACGTTTTTAAGAATCCGAAAAAATTGGAGGCCAAGAAGGTGCAGAAAAAGAATGATCCTTTGGCACAACGCGCCGGATATACGCCTAAGGGTATACGATCCCTTCCAGTCGATAGCGCAGCATATCTCGATGAGAGAGAGGAGCGAATACCAGTAGATGAGTTATTTTTATATCGATACTTGAAACAGAAGGATGAGATTAAAAAGCGTGTTAAGAGAGAAGATGATGACGAAGATGACGAAGACGCAGACAGTGTCAACAGCGAAGAGTTCAATGATATGTTGGATCGTATGGGCGGCAGCCAAGATTTCGGTCAAGATCTCGACGACTTAGATATTGCAGCGGATATCCAACCTAGAAAGAAGAAAGGTAATAACATGTTTTTTTTTTTTACATAAATTTGTATAAAATATGTTTCATTGAGATAAAAGGAAACTTGCTCAAGTTTCAATGTTTTGTATATGAGTGTTTATAGGATTTTATAAACAATAGGTCTTACTAATGAAATTTATAACAGGTAAAGCGGATGAAGACTCTGATGATGACGAGGATAATGAAGATAATGTTAGTCAATCTGATGATGACATCGATGATACATCTGAAGATCTTGATGAAGATGTCGCGGATGATGACGACTTGCAAGATTTAAGCGATATCGATCTTGCAGATGTAGATGATGAAGATCTGAGCGATATCGAATTCAACAATTCCGAAGATGAAGAGACTGCAGATGAATTAATATCGAGTTTGAATAACAAACTAAATTCGAAAAAGGGTCCGAAAAGTAAAGAGAAGAAAGGAATCGATAGCAATATATTCGTATCGGCAGAAAAGTTCGCTGAAATGTTGGAGGAACAAAATAAAACAAAGGGAAAGCACGGTGGTAGTAACGTTTTTAGCAGTAATGACGGCGCTAGCGCAAAGCAGATAGATTGGGAAATGAAACGACATCAACGGTTGAAAGGATCATTTGGGAAAAAACGAAAGTTTGTTCAATCATCTAATAATCGGGCTAAAAAATTCAAACGATGAATATGTAATAAACATATTTCATAAACAACTTTACATTTGATTACAATAAACTTTGATTTCCAATGATTTCTGTTTTATTTGAAGGTCATTGTAAACAATCTAAAACGAATAATATTTAATAGTATATATATATTATATATATATATATATATAATATATACAAAAGTATTTGTCTTTATGAAATTTTTAGGCAAAATGGTGTTTATGTTACTATAATACTATACTATAATTTTACTTATATGTTATTATTGTGCATAACAATTTATTTTCAATATAAACATATTTAATAAAACATGAGACAGGCAATGAATACAATGCAGATTGTAACGCATAATAAATCTAATAAATTATAAAACTTAGATTTCAAATGCAAAATTTTGTACGTTTCAACTCATCCGTTTGGAGTCATCCTCAGTGAACATAAAATTCAAATAAACCAATCACATTCCTTGTCAAATAGATTGAAATCAAACGGTTAAACTATTAGTGAACTGAACGGTTAAACTAGTACTGAATTCAACATTTTTCAGATTTGTGTATATATCTGATACTCCGATGAGCTTTCCTCTCTCGCCCATTATTGCACTTACAAACATACGAAATTTTGTATTTAGAATTTAAAATGTATGTCTCAATTTTATAATCTGTTAAATTTATTGCACGTTGCGATCTGCATTGTACTTTCATTGGCCTGTCTTATGTTTTGTTAATTTTGCAAGCCTATTAATATTTCAATATTATTAAACATATTTAATGTTTATATTGAACACATTAATATGAATTCTCTTTTTATAGTCAAAGTAATCAATCATTAAAATATAATGTTTTAATTTGAAAAATCAGAAAAAAATTGTTTTATGTTCAATAGATAAAATAAAATAATGATATAAAAAAAATGAATGATTACAAAAGAATTCATCTGTCACTATTGCAAATTATTTTTTACAAGCTCTGAGGAATTGCAATCAAATTAGCAGTCTTATATTATATGGCTGGAATGGTGAAACCCAGTATTTAGGCAAAAAGCTAATTTTTTTCCTATATTATTTTTCAAATGTCTGTTTTACTAATAATTCAAATTATTTTACGTATTACATATAATTAGCAATTTTAATTTATTTATTTGAACAGTAAATCGCGTATATTTTAAGTAATTAAAATGGCAAATAATTTATGTAGGTGCAACAGATTGTTAACATTTTACATGACTACATGATAAATACAAAAAGAATGAAATAATTAGAAAGAACCTATGCTATTAAAAAAAAACTGCTATTTAAAATATATTTTTAATAAATATATTATATATTGAAAGATATTATCTACGAAAAAGTAATACATTTTAAGATGTGTCAGTGAAAATTATGTAATTGTTTGATAATTCACGTTTCCATACTTCAAACATAAGACATATTGTTAAATGGTGACAATGTACGTAGTTTTCTTTAAAATAATCTTTGAACTTTCTTCAATTCCTCCTACATTATATCATTCTATATTAATATTCGAAAAATCTTTGATATATTTATTTTTTACCTACAAAAGTTAAAAAACTCGTAAATAACCTAGGATAATTGTTACAGGGAAATACTTTGCAATGATAAAAATAAATCATGAAAGAACGCTGGGCGCTACTCCGGGTCAGGTTTCGTCGAATTTTCGTCATCGTGAGCTGGACTATGCCATGTGAGTCGTTCCTCATAAAATTTGATCACGATCTGTGGGCACTTTTCGTTAGCAATGCGTGCAGGTACCAGATCTGCATCATCTGTTCCTTTCCATTTCATTAAGAACATCAATTCACCGCTGGAATCTGTCGCTCCTATAATACGCTCGGGCTCCAGATTTCTATCAAATCCTATAAAGTTAAAAGAATATTCATAATAGATTGAAACATTGATTTGCTTCAAGTATTTTGATATCATTTTTTAAAAAACGAGGAAAATGATACAAAAAATAATGATATAAAAATAAATAAGAACCAAAAATTTTCGATGCTTCCCTTTACCTTCCAGCTTCTTTTCTTCCACTGCTGCTTTTTTCTTGGCCTGAGTGGGCGTCGGTGTGTTATTGCTTTTTCGTTTCTTTTGTTCCTTCTCTTCGTGACGTTTCCCAGATGCACTTCCGTCTTTTTTCTTCCGTTGTTCTTCAAACTGAGCGATCAGATCCGGACAATCTAAATTTTCTTCTGGCTCCCATGTGTTTTCATCGTTGGAATATCCTTTCCATTTTAAGTAATATTCCACCTATAATCCAAACAATTTTTTTTTTAAATTAAAATGACACTTTATACTGAATAAGATTTTACATACTTTTCCTTTTACGATTCTTCTGTCTAAGACTTTCTCTACACTAAATTCTTCTTCTGCCTCATTGTCCGTTGGAGAATCCTTCACTTTGCTCATGGTATATACTGCAAATATAAAAATCAAATAAGTCTCTTTGTAAATATTTATACAAATTTAAAAAACTGCTATTTAAAATATATTTTTAATAAATATGTTATGTATTGAAAGATATTATCTACGAAAAAGTAATACATTTTAAGATGTGTCAGTGAAAATTATGTAATGATGACATATTATTAAATGGTGACAAGTACGTAGTTTTCTTTAAAATAATCTTTGAAACTTTCTTCAATTCCTCCTACATTATATCATTCTATATTAAAAAAACATTCACATAAGACCTGTTTTCTATAACTGAACTAATATATGTTTTTGCGTTGCTTGTTCACTGCAAGTAATAAAAATCTATAGCTGCATTCAGCAGAGAAAGAAACTTTATAACTGTGTAAAAAAATTCAATACAATTGGTTCTTGCTGTTGCTTCCTTATGGATCTAAATGTATAAACTAATCATACTGAAGAAGTTTATAATAATTACAAAGCTGCTTTCTCTGCTAAACACAGCATATAGTATATGTAACATGAAATATGGATCTTCAGTACTTGCAGTGAAGAAGGAAATATAACTCTTAGGTCTGATTGCACCAATGTTATTTTGATTTTAAGTGAGGCTTAAAACTCTTTCTGTCTCTATCTCTTTTTGGCTTTAACGAGACAGAGAAACTTTTTAAGTCTCGCTTAAAGTCAAAATGACATTGATGCAATTGGGTCTTAGAAAGACATCTATCAGAGTTAAGAAATCAGTAGCCTAGAATCACATAAAGATACAAATAATATAAAGCAAATAGATTTTAGAGTGAGGAACTGTTAGTCGTTTCGTTTTTGTGTAAGAATATGACAGGCTTTCATCTGATCGCACGCTTCAGTATTGTAAATAAAAGGACCGATGAGAAATTATGCTAGGACGCACTCTATACCGGCACGGCATAGCGTGGGATGGTATGGCGCAGTATGATGCACGACACGGTCGCATGCTAAATCGACTTCAACATGTAACGTGTTGTAATGCAATGCGAAATTAGGATGACGGTGAATGAGATGGACATGGAATTATATGTGGCGACGAACCACGGCGTGATTGCGTGAAAATGATTATGTCGCAAGATACGCCGCGGCTTGGTCTAAAATGGCGGCACGCGCTTAGCGGTGACGCGCTCGCCGGTGCTTCTCTTCTTTTCTTTTTAAGAATCGCGACATAGCTCGTGTTCCGTATAATGTCGATGACGTTTACGAGCTCGAGAGCACATTCGAGAACATAAGGAACTCACCTGAGTCGTTTCAATGTACAAGGATGAAATCACCACGATGTAGCCTCCTCTCTCTCTAAATGTTTCGTTGCGAGTGGCTCCGACTGAAGTCGTTGCCGCGAAAAAGTCAGTCTGGCCAAGCTGTTAGCATGAAAATTTCTATGTAGGAAAAAATGATTGCCTTTCGCAAAATTCCTATAGGATTAGCTTCAAAATTTATTCGCATCGCTTGAAATCTTTCAAAATTTTTGCAATTTTTGTGTTGATAATAGAGAAAGAGAGAGAAGGAGAAAGTTCTTAATGGGCGCATTCAGTGGATTCATAGTTGAGTGAGCGCTCTCTGTTATTGGTATATTCTTCTAGATCTAAAATTCTGATTGGATGAGCTAAAAGAATACATCAATAACAGCGAGCGCTCACTCAACTGTTGAGTCCGCTAAACGCAATCATTGATGATTGGAATTTTTTTACTGGATTAGATACCGACGAGATACTATTAAGATGAGTTTTTATACAGACGTTCGAGGTTCATTTTCGACGTCAAAATAAGTCACGTGATAGAAATTGACGAATATGGGGCTCTGCACAATAAAAGGAAGAGAGAATAGAGAACAGAGAATAAGAATTTCAACCTATCAGAAACTGTGTATTCCACAATACTTGATTTCTGATAGGTTGAAATTCTTATTCTTGTTCCCTGTTCCTTTTATTGTGCAGAACCCCTAAGAATTTTAACCTATCAGAAATTGTGTATTCCATTATACACGATTTCTGATAGATTAAAATTCTTACATATTCGATTTACTCGACATGACTCCGAATTAATAGTCTGTTCTGTTTGCTGCAAAAGAAGAGCTAAATTGTGCAAGAAATGCAATTTAAAGCAAAATCCTTTGTTTCCTTCCTTTCCATGAAATAAAGAACTCTGATTGATTGGATTTCTTATGTCTTATGTGTTATGCATTATGCAAGAGTCTGTGCTCTAATTCCCAGTCAAGGTATATTTTTCGCAATAAAATTATTATTTTTTAAAAATTATTTTTATTATTTTTTTATTTACTATTTAATATTAAATTGGCCAATTTGCAGCATGAACAATATATATATATATATATATCTTTTTTCCATCAATCAATGAGAATCAAAACACGTCTCTTAGTGCAAAGTGCCCGTATCTGTTCGTAATTTTTCTAGAAATTCTCTATCTTGTAGTGTAGCTAATCAATACGCTTGAAAAATTTGCAGTGACTACATAAAAAATAGGAAAATTCTGACTGACCAATCAGAAAACACTTCGGAGCATTTGTAGTGTTAAGTGAACCGTATTGAAATATCACGTGCTAACTGTCGCGTTTTGTTTGATGAGCTTGGTGAGTCTGGCGTGGTGTGGCGTGGTACTGGCAAGATCTTTTGGAGTTTTGCATTAAAGGTGTCGTTAAAATAGCATTTGCTAAGATAACGGTATGTATTAAATAATAATACGCATTAAGCTAACTCCGAGATTAAATGATTAATTTCCGTTATGTTTATAGCGAAACAACACAGCGAGATGGCTGCCCGCTCGGTTTTAAGGTACCTAAAACCTAAGCCCGTGATATTTCAGAGTCATCGATGCGCATCTCTGTCAGGCTTTGATATTCAGCACAAAACTCCTACAATCAAGAAAGCGATGCCCATACCAAAGGCTCATTACGGTGGCAGGCACACAGTTACCATGTTACCTGGAGCTGGCATTGGACCGGAGTTGATGGGTTATGTAAAGGAAGTGCGTAGATCATCGTTCTTGAATTTATGACTCCAAGGTTTGGTTTTACTAATATAAGATTAACTTTGATCTCGTTTAATTTATTTTTTATCCTTTTCTAATTCTAAAGATGGAGCGCAGAGTCTTGCATAATGCATAATACATAATGAACCAATCAAAGTCCTTTATCTCCTTCCTTTCCTTGAAATAAAAGACTCTGATTAGTTGATTTTCTTATGCTTTACGCATTATGCATTATGCAAAGGTCTGTACATCGGCCATAAAAATTAAAAAAAGATAAATAATAAATTAAACTAAGATATAAGACTTCTTTTACTAACTTCTTATTAAATTAATCGACAATCAACTTATATCAACAGCAATTTAATGTATCAGAATGTCTCTTCTAAGACAAACTGTTCACATAATCATGATGATTGAGTTAACTATCGATTAATAGTAATCAAAGTTGGTGAAAGAGACTCTACAGTTAATCTTAGTATTAAATATAGTGTTAGAATTGGACCTTAATAATGCAAGAACACTAGATAGAAGGAGCAATCTTCTCATCAATCTTTTATCTAAATCTGATATATTGGACATAATATTTACAATTTCTTTGTTTCAGGTTTTTAAATATGCAGGTGTACCAGTGGACTTTGAAGATGTAGAGATCGATCCCAATGCGGATGACAACGTTGATTTAGATTATGCAATTACATCGATACGCAGAAATGGAGTAGCTCTAAAAGGAAACATAGAAACGCGCAGTACAGAAGCTGGTGTCATTTCTAGAAATGTGGCTCTGCGAAATGAGCTCGATCTTTATGTGAATGTTCTACATTGTGTATCTTATCCGGGTGTAAATTCACGTCAGAAGAACATCGATATTGTTATTGTGAGGCAGAATACCGAGGGTGAGTACTCCATGTTGGAACATGAGAGCGTCTACGGCGTCATTGAAAGTATGAAAGTCATCACAAATTTCAACTCTGAACGTGTCGCCCGTTATGCGTTTGAATATGCCAAGAGGAACGGCCGCAAGAAAGTTACAACAGTTCATAAGGCAAACATCATGAAACTGTCAGATGGACTTTTCTTAGAAATCTCGCGGCGGGTAGCCAAGGATTATCCGGATATCATTCACAACGATATGATTATTGATAATTGTTGCATGCAGCTTGTATCAAATCCACATCAGTTTGATGTTGTATTAACGACCAATCTATATGGTGCCATCATATCGAATGTGGTATGCGGTTTGTTGGGCGGTGCCGGTTTATTAGCCGGCAAGAATTACGGCGACCATTACACAATCTTCGAGCCAGGCACTCGTAACACTGGTACCAGCATCGCTGGCAAGAACATCGCCAATCCGATTGCGATGCTGAATGCCGCAGTAGATATGTTGCGTCATCTAGGTCATAAACATCATGCTGCTGTTATCCAGAATGCAATCAACAAAACTATTAATCAAGGAATACATACTCGCGATCTCGGTGGCACTGCAACGAGCAGAGACGTCGTTGACAATATTTTGAAACACATCAAAATCGCAACCGCTTAAAAAGACTGAAAATTATTCTAGCTAAAAATCTCTTGTAGCAACTGTTTATGGAAAGTGGCGAGTTCGAAGTATATATACCAAGAATCTTGTGTGATTTCTAGTGAGATAACATAAAAGATATGTATGATAAGTTAGTTAGAACAATTACGAATAAGAAACGATCCGACAATATGCGAAAACAAAATTTCATCTATTGGCTCGAAACTGCGAAATATTTCTCTTTCATAAAATCATTGCTCTTAAATAATTGGATGGATTTTGGCTTCCTATCACAAATATGCTCTGTAATATAGTAATTTGTTTAATAATTGGAATTTTGTAAAATATTTATTGTACATTGTAAGTAGTAGCAGTTCCTATAGATGAATTTACCAAATATTATCACTGTGAGAGTAACTTGTATGAAATGTAAAGTACTTGTTACACCTTACCATTAAAAGAATACTCACTGATATTCGTGCGTAAGAAAATAATCATAATTTATTAAGCTGACAAATATTCATATGCCGCCTTAGTACAATTTTATCTAGTTGAATTAAAACTATGACACAAAATGTAAAAAAATTACACTTTACTGTTAAGATAATCGTTATATTGTAAAGTGTACATATCGCCACGTTCATAAATAAAATGTAAAACTTTACATTTCTCTAAAAGTACTTTGTACTAATTTTGTAATAACTGTAATGCTAATTCTTCATCGGCTTGTAAATCAGCAATATTAGATACTTTTTGTTTCTTCTTAATCCCTTTGTATTCCTCTTGTGTTATCAATTTTCTCTTAAAAGGGCTATAACAGAAAGAGTTAAATTTTTAAGTTTTCCAATATAGTTTATAAGTACAAATTATATGATTCTTATATACTTGTGTGTTATGCTTTCTTCCTCAGATATTTGATCTTCTTCAGACTCGTTAGAAGACGATATTTCTTCGTCTCCATTTTGTTTGCCGTATATTTTATCTGGATCAGGTAACCATGAAAGATCTGGACCTTCACTAGCTTCACTAGCTTCACTAGCTTCACTAGCTTCACTAGCTTCACTTTCGATACCATAATCATCGTTTGCATCTTTGCTCTCTTCATCGTTCGTTTCCGTTTTCTTATTAATCTTCAATTTCCTCTTCTTTTCTCTACGTTTTTCTTTATTCTTTTCTCTGTATCTTTGTTTATCGAACTGATCCTCCTCGCGTAAGACTTGCTTGGCCATTTCGATATTAATTCCAGAATCGACTTCATTTTCGTACTGTCGTGCTAATTCTGACATTTTTATTTTGGCAGAATCAACTAATTCCTGGAACATAGATATTCTCGTATGCAGATAAACGATTAAAAAAAAATTGGAAAAAAAATTAATGTAGATAAATAAGTCCAGCTTTTGCTAATCTCAAAATTAATAAGATTATAAACCGTAAGTTTACGTTGCGTAATAGAATATAATAATAATTCATAATATAAAATTCTTACTTGGCCCTCATCATCAAACATAGTCTTTTTATTAGGTACAATCTTCTTTTTGAGAATCTTCTTAGCGAGTGCAACTTTTGTTATAAATTTCTTTTTGTTCGAAGTATTTTTATCTTCATTCTCTGGCATAGAAATATCATCGATATCTATATTTTTTCTTTTTATAGTTAATATGTCTTCGTCATCACTATCATCTAAAAAAATATAAATTACACATAATTAAACGTGTTTTTTTTTATAAATAAGGAATAAGGAATCTATAATATATCTTAGTAAATGATTTTCAATCTTCTTACTAATCTGAAGAGCAGCAGTTTTTTCCTCTTTAATTATTCT